ATGTATTCATGAGTTCTCTCTCTCTCTCTGTCTCTCAAAAAAAAAAAATCACTCCTCTGTCTTGCTTGGAAGATCTCTGAAGAGAAGTCCAATGTAATTCTTCCTTCCTCCTCTATATGTAAGGTATTTCCACCCCACCTCCTACCTAGCTTCTTTAAACACTTTGTCTTTGGTTGTCTGCAGTTTGAATATGCAATGTCTAAGTGTAGATTTTTTAGTATTTATCCTGTTTGGCATTCTCTGAGCTTCCTGGATTTGTGATTTACTGTCTGTCATTAATTTTGGAAATTTTTCAGTCATTATTTCTTCAAATATTTCTTGCGTTTTTCTTTCTTCCCCTTCTGACATTCCCATTAAACCTTTTCTCATTGTTCCACAGTTCTTGGATAATTTGTTCCATCTTTTTCATTAATGCATTTTCTTTGCATTTCAGTTTCGGAAGCTTGCACTGACATACTTTCAAATTTTCATTCTTTCCTTAGCTGTGTCCAGTCTACTGATGGGCCCATCAAAAGCATTATTTCCATTACATTGTTTTTCATTTCTAGCATTTTCTTTTTCATATCTTTGCTTATATCACCATCTGCTCCTGCATGTTGTTCGCTTTTTCCATTACAACCCTTAGCATATTGATCATAGTTATTTTAAATTCCTGGTCTGATAATTCCAAAATCTCTGGCATATCGGAGTCTTATTCTGGTGTCTGGTGTTTGGTTTATCGCTTCAGATTGTGGGGTGTTTTTGGTTTTTTTTTTTTTTTTGCCTTTTAATATGTTTTACAAATGTTGTTGAAAGCTAGGTAGACAGAACTTTACTATGAAGTTTTATGTTTATCTGGCTAAGAGTTAGGCTGTGTTATTGTTTGTTGTAGCTGTGGTGTCTGAAGCTAAAATTGCCTCTAGTGTCCATATTTTTGTTTCTCTTGTTGTCTTTGGATGTCCCTAGTGACTCTTTAAATAAGGTCTGAGGCTTGTTGTTCTTTTAGCTGCAGTTCCCTACTATTACACAGAAGCCCTACTGATGTGGTAGCATGGTCAGGTGTGGGAGGAAGGAAAGCATTCTATAGTCCTCTGATTAGTTCTCAGTCTTTTAGTGAGTCTGAGTTGAGTATTTTCCTTCCTCCATGTTGAAGGCTAGCTAGGGCTGGAGCTGGGTGTTTTCCCTCCACAAGGTCAGTTGAGCTCTGGCAAAATAGTTTCCTTTGAGGGCAGATCTTGTTAAAAAGAACAGAGTGCTCTGGGAGTATTTTTAAGGGTTACTTTCCCCCACAGAAAGCAAGAGGAGAGTTTTCTCAGACCATCACAGTGAGAATTTGTTAGGGCTCCTGAACGTAAAACTCAGAAAAGTTGTGGCACCCCTCTAAGGCTGAGCCTCAGAGTTTTATTTTTTTATTTTATTTTTTTTCAATATACGAAATTTATTGTCAAATTGGTTTCCATACAACACCCAGTGCTCATCCCAAAAGGTGCCCTCCTCAATACCCATCACCCACCCTCCCCTCCCTCCCACCCCCATCAACCCTCAGTTTGTTCTCAGTTTTTAAGAGTCTCTTATGCTTTGTGAGCCTCAGAGTTTTAAATGCTAAAGCTGGTCCCCATAGAGCCCCCAGCAATCCACAATTATAATTAAATTAAAGTATTCCTACTGATATTTGCTCCAACTGTCATGTTGGCTTCAGCTGCTGGCTTCGGCTCCTGGTAAACTGTGATCTTCTGGTAAGCTGTGATTCTCCATATCCATCTGTCTGTCTCTTCAGTTTTCAGGACAACAGTTTGCCCAGTGACCTCAATTCTCTGATGGATCTAAAAAGAGTTGTTGGTTTTCAGTTTGTTCAGCTTTATTTTCTTATTGTGAGGATGGAAGCTTCCAAGCTTTTTACATATTGGACCAGAAACTAAAAATCCTTCAGCATTTTTCTGTAAAATTATGCTTAAAGTCCGTATCATAATTAAAAAGTGCTAGTGGCAAATTTTCAGGCTATTCTTATTTTCCACAAACTCAAACAATGTATTTATTTTCTGTTTTGATCCTTGAAAGAAAAAGACAAAAGATCTGTAATGTCTGTTACCTTCTAGGCACTTTCCTTCCAGATGATCTGCTTTTCTTTCTTCCTTCCTTTTTTTTTTTTTTTTTTTTTTTGGTTCTTGTTCCTAGAGTAGGTCAAAGGTGCAGGAGGAACTAAGGGTAATAATAAGCCAAGAATCACTTACCACAAGTTCTTCCCATATAGTTTGATACATTCTAAACTATCTGAATCTGACGTTTCACTCGTTAAAAGTTTCAATGCTCTATTTAGTAGCGATCCAAATTTCAAGTTTTACCTTGCCTCATCCTCAATCACTGCCTAACTTCCTGCTTCCTACTAATATGGGTTAAGGGTCAATCAAGTCATTTGCAAGTCACCTGTCAGTCTACTTAGAAAGTTCCTCGGAGTGTTTTACATTTAAATCTGCTTACACAAATTAGAAAGCGAATAAATAAGACTGCTCATTAAGGTTTATTTAAATTCTAATAAAATAAATATATTTACTAATAGGTGGTTGTAAAGAGGATAACTTAAAATTTTATCCTATAGAAACCCTTGCTTTTTCAAATTGTTACTTAAATAGCAGTGATTGGATTATGGAATACTACTTGTCTCATTGGTAATAACGTGAAAACAAATTGGTTGAATATTACTGCTTTCACTGCTCATACATGGTATGTGTGTGTGTATAAGCATATATACATACATACTTTTCACACATCCATAAAATACCATATTCTACGCATTTTTGGAAAGGAAAATTGAACTTTGGGGCAAATTTAATGGAGGCTGAAAATGTCTTTTGCTGATTGAATTATCCTTCTGCTTTTAACATTTGAAATGCTCAGTTTTTAATAGATGGCTTAATTTGCTATTACAAAGTGCTCATTTTTTAAAAATGTAACAGACATTATACACTTTGGCTACAATCACAGGCTAGAGAGAATTTCTTAGCAGTATAATGAGAAAGGAACTGATTGAGGGTCTCTGCCACCATGCTTATATACACGGATGGTAACACCATGGGCAGTTCCAAAGTTTAAAAGAAAGAATATTTGTGGATTATATTAACATAATAGGCAGTCTTGGATAGCTAAAACTAGCTGAACTGTGACAGAAGCCCAAGTAATTACTAGCAGCAGAAGCACAAATTTGGGGGCAAAAATAATAAGAATAATTTTTAAAAGCCCACCAACAATACTCATATTAACATTTATTGATTGCTTACTGTGTTCCAGCAACTATTCTAAGTGCTTTAAATGTATTATCTCCATTATGCCATAATTCTGTGACATAGACATAAATGAGTAAATTGAGGCACTGAGAGATTAAATAACTTGTTAGTGTCAGAGTCTGTCTTCAAACTCACTCCTGACTGGTATCAGTATGTTTAACATTGAGTTTTCAGCATGTCAAATTAAAAGGTTTGTGTTTTATAGAGCTATTCTTTTCACAACTAAGAAAGAAAATATGAGTAAATATTTTTGGTCCTTTCTTCTTTTCAGGCCTTTCCAATGGTATTTTTCAAGAAGACATATCATTCAGCAATGTAGAACTAAAACTTAAAGAAAATAACATTAAGATCAGTCTTTATATCTTTATGGGTCTAGTGAATCGGTTTTTAACAGAGTTCAATGCTGTGTTAGATGGACTATTGTTTTTACACAACAATATAACTGAATCCAATATAGATATCCACATTAATATACCACTCTAAGCTAGATTGTAACAATATAATATGGCAAATATGAGAAGTAAAATAATCCAGCATCAAGTGGAGATAAAAGCGCAATGATTTTTTGTTGAACTCAAAATACATTTTTCTTTCGTTTAAAAGATTTACAGGTTTGAAATATATTTTTTCAAAGGCAAAAAGTGATTTTTATTCAGTAGCTTGCAAAGTCATGTTAGCAAACAGACAATACTGGCCGCCACCATGTCGAGTTAACTCCGGTTCAGCAGTCCGCTGCCCAAGTCTGGGCAGGGGGTTAGAAGAATCCTTCCTCTTTCCAGTCTATACAGTGAATTAAAGGTGGTGAGTCTCAAACTAAGGGTCATCTTCCATTTTTCCCAGTCCATCTAAGATTATTGTGGGCTCTTTTACAAACAACAAGAAAGTCTACCTAAAGCCGTTTTCCTCCCATAGCGCTGAAATTCTGGTTTACGCTTTTATTAAAGCCACTGACACCTATTTGTAAATGCTTAATTTCAGATTTTAAGATTTCCCTGCTACCTTAACTACTTCCCTTGAGAAGTTTACAGCATGAGGCGTTTGTTTGCTTTATATTTTTATTTGCATTTACTCAGTAATCAAACTTCTTCATAGAAAAACTTAGTGGACAAGGAGAGTACCCTTGCGTTCCATGGCAAAAAGGGCGCTCGGTGGCAGGGCCCCCGTGGTTGGACAACCTGGCAAGAAAAACCCCATTGTAACATATAAGCAAAGGGTCGAAAGAGAGCTGCCACGACGTGAAAAGTCTGCTTTGTTGAACTGGGGCTCAGCACAGCTGTCAGCAACCTTGCACAGCACAGCCACAGAGGAGAAAGACATCGCAAGACTTGCTGCACCGGGAGCAGGAAACGCGATGCAGGCTTGAGACCCAAATCCCTTCTCAGCAGCGCCTCCCAAAGCCAGCCACTGCTTTCCCTAGGAGAAGGCAAAGCGTCCCCAGACCCAGGTTGGCCGCACCCCAGCTCCTTTCTCTTTCCTCCGCAGCTGCACACAGACGAGCACGTGAGCCCGGCAGCGCTTCCCAGCTGTGCCTCAGCTGACAGCTTCCTGATTGGCTGAGACAGACGTGGGCTGGGGTGGGACTGGCCGCCGGCGTCGCTCGCCATTGGCTCTCAGGGAACCCGCCTCCCCCTCAGGTGAGGCGGGCTTGCGTGAGCGCGAGCCGGGCTCCGCGGGCGGGCGCGCCCCCGACACTCTCCTCCCCCCCCGCCCCATCCCGCGCGCCCCCGAGCGCGCCTCCGCCCTTGCCCGCCCCCTGCCGCTGCCTCAGCTCCTCAGTGCACAGAGACGCCTCGTCTGAGGGGACGCAAGGATCGGCCTCACCGCCGCTTCGTCCGGTGCTCGGGGCCCTGACAAGCTGCCTGAGGGGAGGCTCTTCTGAGCCGGACCTGGACCCTTACGATTGCCGCCTGCTGCTCCTGCCTCCGGGTTTACGAGGGGGTTCCCGCCTTGCACCTCCCACCTCTGGACGTGCCTCCCCTTCTCTCCTCGCGTGTGGAGGGAGCCAGCGCTTAGGCCGGAGCGAGCCTGGGGGCGGCCGGCCGTGAAGGCTTCGCGGGGACCGATTCGCCATGGAGGGCGCCGGCGGCGCGAACGACAAGAAAAAGTAAGCCCCTTTCCTCCGTCCGTCGCGTTCTCCGCCGGCGCCCCCCGTCCGCCCGCCGCCACGGGCTCGGGGGCCAGCCTCAGCGCTCCGGAGGGGGCCGCCTTTTTGTTTCTGCCTCTTCTCCCCTCCCCTCTCTCCCCCCAGCCTCGCCGGCCGGGCTCCCCCGCTGCCCACGTCGCCATCTTGTCGTGGGGGGTGGGAGACGCCTCGAAAGTGCTTTCAGGGGCCGGGGGCTGAGCCCCGCTGGCCCTCCCCTCCCGGCCGCCGGGGCCTCGCGCCGCCCTCCTGCTAGCCTTGAAAATCACCCGGCCTGCCCTATACCCCCATCCGGGTGGACTTTCCCTGGCCCGAAAACCCCGGGAAGAGAGACGAGCCGCAGCTCGGTCGCCGCCGTTTGCACCCGAGCTTCCGCTCCTTCCCGCCCCCATTCTCTCCAGTTCCATTGAACACTCGGCCCCGGGGCGGACCCTGCGCGCTGGTCCTGGCTTCCCAGAGGGCTCGGGGCCCTGGGTTTCCCACCCAGGGGCTCGCGTGGTCAGATGAGACCTTACGGTGCGGTTGTCTAGTCGCGGCGGGTGTCTTTGCCTTTGTGCATTAGGGATTTGTCGCGACGGCCTGAAGATGCTAACTTTAGTTTGCACGTGCAGGTTTTGTTTTGTTTTAATCGCCTTGAAAAACTTGTCTAGATTGAGGAGTCGGAGTAACGGGAATTTGGCGAAGTAGCAACATTTTAAAGAGGGCATCACAATTGGATTCTTGTGTTTATGTCAGCTGTCAAGGGAGCCCAGACGTTATAAATTAATATGTGAGATTGAAAAAGTATGTGATCGCAGCAAGTTTCAATGTCGAAATTTTTAGAACGGTCTCATTTTCATGAAATTGAAGCATATTAAAGGAAAACCTTCGAGATGTATCCGAAGTAAATAATCATTCTGTTAGAACTTAATGCAAGTTTTTAAAACACCTTAAAGTTTGAGTCTAAATGGTACATTATAGGATTAAGAATTATAAATGGATCCAGTGGGATTGAGCCCCCCCCCCCCCCCCAAGCCCCTCACACAATTTGGTACATTTTTGGTATTTTAACCTTTGTGGAAATCGTTTTTAAGGAATTGGAGATTTATATAGTAAGAGTTGTGGTTGGTAGACTGGCTTTACTCCTTAAAGTCCTTCCACTCTTCTGGGAGAGATTAAGATTAACTTCCTTAATCAGTATTAGCAGAAGATAAACTTGTTTATATGTTCTTGCTATTTCGTAGATACCATTTTGGTCCTTATTTCGTAGAATGATAAATTCTCTTTGTACACCAGAGAAAACCCTTATAAAATTCAAAAAGTGAGTAAATAGGCCTGGACTTAATTCCAAGAGTTGACAGGAATTAATTGCAATTATTTTTGCGGAAATGATTACAATGCTTTTAATGAAATGATGAAGCTGCTATATTATAAACGTGAGGCAGATTACCCCTGTGTAGTGCCAATTTTCAGTTCTTATTCTGTGCTGAATCATACTTAATACTGTGCATCAAGTTATATACCAATCATTTCTTTTTTATATGCAATTCTCTTTAATTGTGAATTCTTTGCAGTTAGTTGAGATTATCACAAGCAGCTTTAATATATTTGAATTAATTAGTTACTGTGCATCACCCCCCAATTCTAAATTAGTTCTTAGATTTTGCTCAGTCCCATGTGTTATTTTCAAAATACTCTCATTTGAAAATTTAGCAAACTTGAATCGGATTGCATCATATTTCTTAATATAGAGGTTCTTATAACTGAAAAATTAAGTTAAACACTTAATAAATAGCTACCCAACAACATTTAGATGTTTGTTAAAGATATCTGGTTTTTATCCTTTTCTAACTAATAATTTTAAAACTTTCTGAAAAGGTAACTGAGATTGAGGGGCAAGGTACTTTCTTCTTACAATTTTTCCATTTTAAATGTGCTGTAGAGTCCAGTTTGGGAAGACAAATTTGTCTTCTTAAAGATGTTCTAGGAAACTAAAAAACTGAAGGATTGGAAGAAATCACAACAGGATGGAATAGTTACAATAGATTTAACAGGGAATTTCATGTTGATTTCTTAGTGGTAGGTAGGGCCTGGACTTCATTTAATAGCACATTAATACTGATTTTTAGATTTCAGAGTAATGTCAAGAGGTTCATTGTTCTCTTTAAGGTGTCAGGCCAGACTCCTTCAGTTTCCAATAACAGTTATTGGATCGTTAGAGTAAAATTTCTGAGAATGGACATTTCTTAACTTCTTTAACTTTGGCCATTAAAGTCCAGAAGCTCTCATTTATTAGTAAACTTTTCTCGTTATAATTGTACTTTGATTTTCCTCTTTTTTGAAGAAGAGCATGGTTGGTAGTTGAGAGTATAGGATCTGGACCTAGACACTTCTAGTTAAGAGTCCAGTTTTTTCGCTTGTTAGCTTTGTGAGCTTGGGCAAGTTACTGAATGCTGTTGAGCATATTTCCTCCTTTTGGAATGATAATAATAGCAACCATCTCAGTGGTTATTGTCAACATTACATGAGATAATGTTCACTGTATGTCTGGTTTAGGAATCTTGGGAACACTGTATGCTTGGAAATATGCATTACCTGTTAAAGTTCTATTTAAACTTCCACAACACTTAAAAACTTTTTTGCAAGTGTTTCCAAATATTTATGTTAGTTCTTCTCCCCGCCTTCATAGATTTTTTCTAAATCTCCTAAAAATGAAGGCCAACATTGGATTTAGAGCTTTAAAAGGGGTTCTTTTCCAGTTAAAACAGTATATCCCTGGGTTATGTTGGCAGCTAGCATTGTTACTCTTCTTGAGCATCTGTTCTTCTCTCTACTCTCGTGTCCCTTCTTCACAATTCCTTACCCTGCTGTTTCCTCCCCAAATAGGCCACTTGTATTTACTTTGGGCATCAGAGACGAGAGTTGTAAACAAATATACTAGGCTTAGAGTTTATTTCAGTAAGGTATGTGCAAGTAACTTAAAGGTATGTGCAAGGAGTGGCAGTAACTTAAAACATTTTTTGTCTTGACTCCACAGTTAAGAATAGATAGTTGCATAAATACTTATCTTTGCTAAACATGGTAAGTTGATAAAATACTCCTGGTAAAACCTGTGAACCTACACAATAGAAAAACTCCTTTGCTTATGAATTTCTCCAGGTAAGACTACTGGCCTCTGTCTCAAGGCAAGGCTTCAAGCTGATTTTTTGAGGCTTGATTTGTATGAAATCTGTATTAGTGCAGTCTTTTACCTGAACTGTGGTAGTTTGTTCCTGTAGTCCACTGGAAAGCATTTTGTGCCATTGGGAGAATGTCCAATCTTTACCTGGTGATTTCCATTGTCTGCAGCACTAATGGTGTGTGGGCCCAAAGTTAAGATTTTGTGGTTATATTCTATTGTTGTATATTAAGAATGATGTGTAGGAGGCTGAGGAAGATTAGTCTTGACTGATGTTTTCTGAAGAACTCCTAACAGTTGATTATGTTTGCTGGTGAAATTAAAAAAAAACTGTTACCATACATGAATGTTAAAGATTTGGATTAGATTACTGAGTTTGTTCATAGATACGGCCTCTTAAAATGTAATTTTTAACATATAGATACTTCTTAAAATAATATATTCTTTGTTAAAAAATTTTTTTAATGTTTTCTAATTTTGAGAGAGGGAAAGGGAGACACACAATCTGAAGCAGGCTCTAGGCTCTGAGGTGTCAGCACAGAACTCGATGCGGGGCTTGAACTCCTGAGCCATGAGATCATGACTTGAGCCAAAGTTGGGACTCTTAACTGACTGAACCATCCAGGCACCCTTAAAATACTGTATTTTTATCTAAGATTGTTAACGTAAGTCTGTTTATAAAGTAGGAGAAAATAATCAAAATTAAATGTGTTGTTAGATAGTTTTCTATTAAGAAATTGATTTTAATTCATAAGAATGTTCTCTTTTTATCTTGTTTCTTTTTTTTTAATGATGGGACTAACTATCCAGGTGGTGGATTTTAGCCAGCTTTCTGCGACTTGTGGTATATGTATTGTGTATGTTTTCTGCCTAACTACAGAGCTAGAAAAAGAATTTGAAGCTAAGTCAATCATATTGCTCAGTATTTTTGGTAAAAGTTTGGCAAGAATTTTTGAAATAACTAGATCTTGGAATTTTAAAAATAATTTTATACCTCTCTTTCTTGGAGCATCAAGAATTAACTCTTTTGTATGTATATTGAGATTTAGATTAAAATTCACGTTTCTGCAATAAAGACTACCAAACCCATATCATTTGCCAGACATGACTCTTTCAGAAAAATGGAATATATAAAATCTACATTTATAAAAACAAAATTTAAGTCATTTCCTCATGACTTGTTTTTCCATAGCTTTTGAAGTGATTGTGAGGTTTTTTTTTAAATTGTGGTTAAAAAAAAAAACCCCACATAATGTAAAAATTCCCATCTTAAGCATTTCTAAGTGTGCAGTTCAAGAGTAAGTGTATTCATGTTGTTGTGTAACTAGAATTTTTTTACCTTGTAAAACTGAAAGCATTAAGCATTTCTCCTAGTTTCCCCCTCCTAGTTCTTGATGACCATCATTCCACTCTGTTTTTATGAATTTGACTACTCAATACCTTACGTATGTGGAGTCATAAAGTTTTTGTCTTTTTGTGACTGGTTTATTTCACTTAGCATAGTGTTGTCAAGATTTATCCATGTTGTAGGCCTGTGTGAAAATTTCCTTATTTTTAAGGCCAATATACACTACATTTTGTTCATCTATTCATCTTTCGGTGGACACTTAGGTTGCTTCCACGTGTTGGCTGTTGTGAATAGTACTGTTACGAACACGGGTGTACAAATATCTCTTATAGATCTTGTTTTCAGTTCTTTTGGATATATCCCCAGAAGTATGTTGCTGGATCATATAGTAACTATTTTTAAGTTTTTAAGGAACTGCCATACTGTTTTCCATAGTGGCTGCACCATTTTATATTTCTA